TTGCTCACACGGGCAGAGCCCTGTGGCTCACCGAGGTCTTGCATTTAACTTCTCCAAAACACCCCGGAAAAGCACCGTGGATGGAGAAAGGCAACTCGCATGGTCCTTGTGGGGGGCTCTGATGGCGAGGAGGACCCCAGAGAGCATTTTTCCATTGGAAATGGGACCCAGCCAGGGTGAAGCTTCCTTTGTCAAGTCTTGGGGGGAAGGCAGAGCCATTCCCCGGGAGATACGGCCCTGTGCACGCTCACCCCTGGCTTATCAGCCCCCCGGCAGTGACACACAGCCCCGGCACGGGGCCCGGCAGAGCCATCCCGGTGACACTCACCCGGGCAGCGGTAGAGCTTGCGGGCCTGGGCGATGTCCCCTTTGCTCAGACGTGTCCGCTGGCCGATGGCGGGGCGGACCCCGTTCACATCATACTTGGGCAAGATGGTGTCGAGGAAGATGCCCCTGGGGTGAGAGCAGGCAGAGGCTGAGCTGGAAAGCACCGGGTCTGCGGCTGCTCCCCGCTGCTGCCGGGAGAAGGATGCTAAAAACAGCCTGGCTAATTAAAGCTTGCAGGCCGGTGAGTCAGCGGGGATGCGTCCCCGCCGGAGGTGACCGCGGGGACAGCACCGTCCCTGCCCTGGAAAGGGACGCCGTGGGGCTTCATCCTGCCCAGCACGGCTGGAAGTGGGTGCTTTGCACCCCAGTGCAGAGCTGTGAAGGTGCCACCATCCCCCAGGGCTGGGGATCCCCGTGTCACCATCCCCAGCGCTGCGGGGAGGAGGGGGACACGTACCTGGAGAAGGTGTTCCTGGCGTAGTGCATTATGCTGTCGAAATCGTACGTCTCGCCCAGGGACTCCACCTCCTCAGGCTCCATCTTCAAGAAGTTGTACTCCTGCCCTGGGGAGGCAGGTGGGATGGGGATGCCAGCGGCGGGGTGGGAACAACCACCCCCCCTCGGCTTTTGGCAGCACCCCGTGGCGGGAAGGATGAGGAAGAAGAGGAAGAGGCTGGTCCTTACCTGGCTGGATGTTCTCCCGGATGATGGAGACGTGGTCATCCCGGTCGGGGCGCGTGTGCTCGTGCCAAAACCCGATGACGTGGCCCAGCTCGTGCACCACGATGCCGAATTTGTCGCAGTTTTTGCCGATGGAGATGGCCTGGGGGCCCCCTCCTCGGCGACCCACATAGGAACAGCACCTGGGAGGGGGACGGACGGGGGGAAAACACCAGCTGAGCTCCAGTGCTCCAGGCATGAGGGGGACACCCCTGCCCGTGTGGAGCATCACCCCCCCAGCCCGGTCCCACATGGCCTGGAGCATCTGGGAATCATCCCAGGCAGCGTCAGCCGTCCTGCCCCCGCGGCGAGCTCGAGCCGTGCCCCCGACCTTGGCTCTGCCTGGAAACTGGGAGAGCTCGGCGCCTGCCCCCGGGCTGCCTGGCACGGCACGGCACGGCACGGCACGGCACGGCACGGCACGGCTGCACCCCCCGTTCCAAGGAACAGCCTCCTCCTAACCACCATCTGCTTGGCCGGGGCCGTGCCCCGACGCGTGAAGACGCTGAGCTCTTCCAAACTCCTGTTTCTTTTGGCATCAGCCCTGCTGCAAGCCCGGGCGGGTGCTGCACCAAGCTTGGTGGCTCCGAGATACCCCCCCCCGTACCCCAAACCACCCCTGGGGACGGGTCCCCTTCGCACCCCCAGGTCTCCATGGAACCGAGCGGGTCTGGGGCGCCGTTAGCACCACGCACACGCCGCCGTGGGCACGTCGGTGCCAGGGTACATCAGCCGGGCAACCTCATCAGGGCTCCCACGAGCCGCCGTGCTCGAGCCGAGGCGGTCGCAGGACCCCTCTCACCTACCCGCAAGGGCGGTAGGTGAAGACGATGTAACTGTCCTCGTCGTTGCGCTCCAGGAAGGTGACACAAGTGTGTTTCTCCCAGTGCCGCATCGCCTGCCGGAAGATGGCTCGCTGGCTGCCTGCAGGAGGGGGCGGCGGGGGCCGTCAGCCCGGCGTGGGGAAACTGAGGCACGCCAGGGATGTAGCATCCCCCCCCGCCTCGCCTGCACTCACCACTGAAGTTGCCACTGATCACGTAAGGGATGACCCCGTCCGGCCACACTCTCTCCGGCCGGGACGTGGCAGCCCGGCGGCTCCGTGCCCGTTGCCGGCCACGGCTGCGTGGTTGGTGGCCCGGCCTGGTGGTGTTGGTGCCTGTGGGGAGTGTGTTTCAGTCGGGGGTGAGGGTAGGCATCCCCCAGGGATGGCTGGAGGCAGGCGGGAGGTTTGGGGGTACCTGAGGAGTTGGTGGGCAGGCGCGTGATGGTGCGGCGGGCCAGGTCCACCACCCGCTCCACCCGGAAGAGCCGCAGGTCCTCCTCGTCCAGGGCGATGTCTCCCAGGAAGGCAGCTGGAAGGGGAGTGTGGGGTGTGGAGGGGAGATGTGAGCCCCCCATCCCTCTGCCTGGGGACCCCAAACCCCATCGGGGTCCCTGCATCCGCTTTTCCTTAGCGCCCCCCCTGCACCCAGCATGCCCCTGAGAAGAAGGCAAGCCCTTCCTCCTCTTCCTCCTCCTCCCCCTTTCCTTCAGCTGGGGGCCAGGAGGGAAGGCGAGCGTGCTGCTGGCTGGGCCCCCCCCTCCCCGCTCCCCAGCCCG